CACCTTGGGACCATGATTACAAGTGGGGGCGCGCTGACGTCACGGTGGGCCTGAGGTAACACGGCATGATATTATTGTTTACTGAGGGGTCTATATCGCTTTCCTAATCATACTTAAAATGCCATAAAAATATAATAGTGTACTTGTCATTAGAACTTAACACGCGTTAGCTCTTATTAGCAAAAGACGTTCCCTGTGAAATAAAATTGAGCAAATTATTGCATCTTGAAATGTATTTCACGTATCTGATGATACGGCCGTTTCTCAAAGTCGGTTTTAGAGACATTTTATATAGAATAGCTGTGGAATTCTGATCGTGTTGCCAATTTTACAGGAATGTATCAGTGACAATTATAATAACTATTTAGATGCCTGGACGACCAAGATCACATGTAATCAGTATAAGCAGGGGTCTGTTAGAATACAATGGATAATGAAGGATACATTGTTTGTGGGTTTTCTTATCAATTCCTTTTAACCAAACTTGTCAGCCACTGTGAAATATATATTTAAACACAGTTTTTCCGTGAGTGTGCTTTACATTCCTAATGTTTTAGCTCACTTGTATTTGCTCTCAATATTGTTTAATGCAGCATTCAGCAATATTCCAGCTATAAAATTGCGGTTTAAGTCTGGACCAATGCAGTGATGGTGATCATGGATGCATTTAGGATACAGTGAAACGCATCAACTAAGTTTCACGACAACCATGGATAGCATGCTGAAGACCAAGTGCAACCCGGGTCTTTAAGGAGTGTTGAATTCTAGTCGCTATTGGCATGTTTCCTTGTAAATCCATGAATACGGATTCTTTCGATCCAAAGAACTGTGGCATAAACAATTTACCCAGCTCAACCTGTCTCTTGTCAGGCTTGACGGTCGACAATAGCCCATAGCGACTGGGGACAAGCTTTGTAAATATGAAATACCGTAGAACAACCAGTCTACAATTATCTGGCAAAACCGATTACAATGCACAGACACGGTAATTTGTATTGAAATGACCGGATCAATGAAAATCAATGAAGACGTCAGGTGGACACAAAAAAAGGGGAAACAAGGTTTGTCTCGTTATCACCCATCCCTCACACAGTATGCAAAAAACTTCTTGTTGTTGTTTCGTAAGAGGCAACTAACGGGATCGGGTGGTCAGGCTCGCTGACTTGGTTGACACATGTCATCGTGTCCCAACTGCGTAGACCGATGCTCATGCCGTTGATCACTGGATTGTCTGGTCCAGGCTCGATTATTTAAAGACCGCCGCCATATAGCGGGAATATTGCTGAGTGCGGCGTAAAACTAAACTCACTCACTCACTCACTACTGTATTCACCCTGTCGAAAAGTGCCTGTGTAAAAGCAACACCCTTCCTTCAATGGATTAACCGTCAATACGTCGATTGCTCATTATTGGCAAACTAAGTCACATCATGCAATTAGTTGCCAGGTGTGCTATCTTGGGTGACTATACACCAATGTGAAAAACCTGAAGCAGTCACGTGATCAGTTGAGAAACTACCATTAGTTAAAACGATATATCACTCACTCACTCACTCACTGTTGTTGTTACCACACAACAGCTATCAGCGATGCAAAGACATTGAACAAACTAGATAGTCAAGTGGTTGACCACAACTCCAGTCACATTACACCCCTTTTACTGATCTGGTTGCAACTGAAAACGATGTGTACATTATGAACAATACCCACTGTGTACAAGTTATTATTTGATATTAATATTATGTAACAATCGTACCACAAAATGCCCCAACGCTGCCCTCATCAAATCGCTAACACCCCCCCCCCCCCAAGTCGATATTTTTATTGTGTTTTTATCCAAAATTTATTGTAACACATACTGAATATTCTTCCAACCCAGCACTTTATGTCCGACGTTTTGTATTTGCTCGATCTGACATCAGAATTGAGTATATATATCTTCCGTTGTAAGGCGATTAACTGGAAAAGAGACATGTTGTGATTTGAAACCCTGAATAATCAATCAGTTTCAAGTTATACCGATTTTAGCAATATTCCAGCAATCTCACCGCGGGGGACGCCAGAAATGGGCTTCTCATAGTGTACCCATGTGAAGAATCGAACCCGGGTCTTCAGCGTGACGAGCGGACGCTCTAGCCACCCCTACTACCACTATAAGACATGTACGCAGAGATGCATAAGTTGTGGTGGTGTAGCCCAGTCGTAAAAACGTTCGACTCCCACATGATACAATTTGTACAAATTTGTTGAAAATTTCGTGACATTGCAGAAATATTGCTAAAAGCGACATAAATCCATACTGACATAAGTGATCAGGGTTTAAAGCTGCTTTTAACACTTTTAATACTATAATTATTTTTATGGCGTTTCCGTTATGTGAAGACCCCCCAAAAAAAAAAAAAACAAAAAAAAACAAACACAAAAAAAACAACAAAAACAACAAACCCAACAAAAAAACAACAACAAAAAAACACAAAACAACAACAACAATCGAAGGCGAAACGAATGATCACGACTATTGCGCTGACCAGACAAGGATCACAATTTTGGAAGTCAAACGCGAAAATGCCTTGGCTGAAACATCGCTGATGTGACGTTACATTTTAACAAAGTCAGTCAGACTCCTGGAACGGACAGCAAACGCGAGACAATCATAACAGCCGCTTTTCCCCCATGTTGGAAAACTATTCAGAAATTGTAGCATCTTATCGCCTGGTCTCACAGTTTCCCGGGGACGTTGGGTATCAAATTACAGTAATGACCTGTCATGTCGAGGTCATGTCAACGTAGAAATGCACAATACAGCAATGTGCATGTACTGTGTCTCTGACAGTGTGACACAAACCTTGTCGTTTAACCGGTCGGGCAGTAACCCGTCAACGGTCCTTGAAATTCAGTCACAGTGACAGCTTCAAAACAGAAGCAAGGCAAATAGTTTCAGGTATTTTTAAACCCAGTTTTAGTAACGTTTGACGTCTGAATATAAATTACACATTTTTGAAGAATATTCTGTTCTTATTCAGTGTAAAAGACAAAAATAGCTTTTGTTTCAAAAGAAAAGCATTTTAAGGAGTGAGTGAGTGAGTTAATATTCAGCTATATCACGTGACTAGAACATGTCTAAATATACATAACCCAGTGGGTGATACTATGAGCAACAAGTCAAGCCCCTTTATCACGATGACACAGCCACCCGATACCCGGTTATAGGACCAGCAGTAGGGTAAGGAAGTGTGTCTATACTTTCAGTGGTCCCGAGAGCGCCATTTACATGACTTCAAATATAACACAAGGTAATGCCACTATTTTTCAAATTTGATATTCAACATCCTGAATGTCAAACCTAAACATTAGTTGGACGAAGATACATAATGTATTTTGCATTATGCGTCTCTTATTTACATTTGAAGTTGATAATCATAAGTTAAATGAGCTGTTTTGCATATTTTTACATACTTGTCCGTTTACGTCTTGAAGCTAACCTGTCTATTGGATTTTATGTGACACACTTTAACATTGAAGTTTTTGAAATGCATTTAGAAGTTGGATGAACATGAGTACATGACACGTTTCATGGATAAATAAGAAGATGAATAAAAAAGTTGTGATCCATAAAAAGTGTCATGTATTCACACTTTAACAATATCTATAAAATGTCCATGAAACAACTGGGTCAATAAATGCGCCCCTATAACATGAGTGAGTGAGTTAAGATTTACAGTCACACCGGCAATATTTCAGCCATATCGTTAATAAAAGGTTTTAAAGTCACCATAAATACATATGAATTATTAAAAGCCTGTCAACGGACAGTAAAACAACTAGAATATCACAGATATGAATATAAAACTAATATGTAAATATTAAACATTTCAATTACAGTAGTTTCTGAACAAAGTTTGAAGCAGTTGTTTTTAAAGGCGACGCTAGCTATAACTTTGATCAAGGCTTGTCGTCACCTCTACATTTCCCACATTCTCCGTCCGTCCGCGGTCTGAACTTTACCAGATTTATAACAACGTACGATCATAACACGAAATTCCAAGGCGTGCAACAGTTCAAGTGTGTTTCGAGGATCTGATTGTAAACGTACAATGCCCTCATAAACGAACATGCATGTCTAGTACAATGGATATGGGAATATCACATGTACATCGAGCGAAGAACGTCTGGTCTTTATGCAACTTTCCCATAAGTTACATTTAGTTTACATCATTAGAACTTGTAAATGTGGGACAAAAACATCGGTCTCGACTAGAAAACAAACATGCCCCAAAGCCATTAGGTGTGCAATAAGTGTTAATATATGCATCATTTTGTGAAAATAATTTAGTTTTAGGTTTCAAACAAAGACACTGAATCCGCTTTTCTAAAGGTGTAAATATACATAAGTGAAAAGAAAATAATTAAATTACAATTTTAATTTTAAAAAATGATTTCTGTGTCAAATATGAAAAATCTATATCGTCAAGAAGAATTGTTCATTTAGTGACATTTAATCGTATTTTGATTCATGTTCATATATCGCCATGTACATCAATTCCTATAAAAAATACCATTTCCTATTTCAGCAACACAGGAAATGCTACGTGTTAAACGAACAGACATAATATCGTCAAACGAATTCCTCCTTCACAAAAACATGTTTACAAACATAATGGTAACTGAATCCTTCAGTCCTGACTGGCAAAAGAAGCGAAACACCTGTATCGATACATCCACAGCCTAACTGAAGAAACCTAACCTCGCAGCCTTGAAACCTCAAACAATGGCGATGTAACAATCTGCCCACCGCCCCAGACAAGCCAAACAATACGCCTTGTTCCAAGTGGCCATCTTACAAGATTAGAGTGGGCGGTGATAGGCTCTGCGTATATTAACCATGCACGCCTCCATTTGGGATCAAAACAACGGCTATCGCGAGGCCGTACAGGTGTAGCATTCTCCTGCTCGATATCGAAATGATAGGAATGCAATGTTGCATCCCAAAATAATATGACCTTTCACTTCTACTCTGATCTTGTGGGCTGTTGCAGTTCTTCCTTGCGATAGCAGCAGTGCAACTGTCAGATCGTTTCGGAAATAGAATTGTGAAGGAGAACTGAAGGTAATGCCGTTCATTGCGTCACGTTCACCCCCGATCTCGAGACACGTGTGTTTTGAGAACTTCGTGGATATAACAGATGAAGCGATGCCCGATTTACCCATTCAGAGGATGGAGCTGTTACGGAGGGCTGCGAGGCAGACAAAACTGCTTGTCAGAAAAAGGAAAAAATCCATATCAGAAGAAAATGGACTTTTTCCCAATGGTGAGTACGGTAAGAAATTTTTAAAGATGATGTTGAGAAATAATAACTGTTAATCGTTGATTTGCAGGTTGTAAATGTTGTATGACGTACATGAAAAAATCAGAGATTTGTGTCAAATTAATGCACTGTACTCTTGTAGACATTCATCTATTTGTCGTAATATCTGTATAGCATAAAATATAATATGAAATGATATCAAATAAAAGTTATTTGTTATATTACCATGTTATATATAATCATAGTAAAGTGGCGGTACCATGGTGTGTTGTTTCAGTAATGAATTGTGTTTCAAACGAAAATGTTGCTTCTCGAGTTCTGAACAAAATAAATTGGAAAAGCCCAACAATTTTGCAAATGATTAAGATTTCGCTGAATACGACATGTATGTATATTTTAAATCGTATTGACCAATAAATAAGCAAAGACAAGTGATTTCTTCAGGTGCAAAAGCAATTAATATTTTGACAAGCACAAATATCTGATTCTATCTGTCATATATATGTAAACCTCTTAACCACAGAGACTAGGTTACAATAACAATGGATACAAGGTCTTAGTGTATGCAAGAAATGGACCCAAGAAATGACACGGTCTCTCGATAGATGAACTTTTAATGAACTTTTAACACCAGTTGGAATTTCAACCAAACTGGTTTTGATTGTCTTAAACTCGTCATAAAATGTCAATGTTATGCAATGGTGGTGGGATCTAATTTGTATCATCTTTTATGCCTTTACAACATCTTGTGAAGATGTTTTTGACGATTGTGTTTTAATCATTTAATAGTGATCATTATTGTGCATTGTGGTCGAATTCTTTAACATTAACCCCCAACCAACAAATCCTTCGAAACATTACCACAGTCTTAATGTGTACATCGTCATACATGCCTTCACAACGTCTTGTGATGATGTTTTCAATTACTGTGTGTTAATCATTAAAAGTCATTACTGTACATTGTGGTGGAAATTAATAATCAAACAACACCGACCAAGAGTGAGTGAGTGAGTGAGTGAGTTAATATTTAACGTCACATCGGCAATATTTCAGCCATATTGTGACTACAAAAAGTTATGTACTAAGAATATACATATGTATACTAATTTAAAATCCTGCCAGCGAAGGACAGTGTAACGACTAGAATATCACAATTGGATTAAAACTAGTTTGTGTTCAGTGTAAAATGTTAAATCATTTCAAAACATCACAATATAAAATCGGGTTATAGATCGCCAACAACTGAAGGTAGATCACCATACTAGGGATCATGGGGACTTACATTACTTTTGCTTCCTGCCCCCGACCAGGAAATCAAGTAAACGGGTCTAACTAGGGGTGGGGTGGGGTTATAGAGTATCCTGCCCCTGGTCATGAGGTGGACCAAATTCAGTAATCCCCGGGGGGTATTCTACCCCCAGTAGGTAAACGTGTCACGTAATACATTTGTAGACCCTTCCCTGCTTATAATGAAATGGTTTTCCAGGAAATCTAAACATTGCTATGATGCAAGTTGTTGATATGCACTATCCACCCTGCTATTAATCTGTACCCCTACACTGGAAAAAAAAACATGCCTCCGAAAAACAAGCGTTTACGACGTGGTTATGCCTGGACAGATGATGAACGTGTCTGCTTAGTCTCTTGGGAGACATGCACATCCAATCCCAACTGGACAGTCCCTCAAAAGTGGATACACCTGTTTATTCAAAGGTGAACGGGGTAATGCATGAACTTGGGTTTGAGAAAACATCCGTACAATGCAAAGAACGAATGAAAACACTGAAATAATCCTATCAGCAGTGGAGAGCTCCGAAAATTCTGCAAATTTTATGAACAGCTAAATGAAATTTTGGATGCAAAGACCTGCGACATCACCTCGAAAGGGTCATTCAAAGTCTCCAGCCGTCAGCTGCATCAAATACAGACATATCTGATCTTGAAGTTATTGATGACCATGTTACTGACAACATTGCTGATGATGTCGAACTTGCTGACGCAGGAGATGATGAATATGTTGAAAATGTTAAAAATGACCAACAAAATGATCATATGAAGACAGACGGAACAAAAGATGAAATAGAGAAGAAACGAAAAGGAAAACAAAGAAAAACCAAAATGCAAAGAACTTTGGAAACTGTCATGGACAAATTTGCTAAATGTAATGACGATATTGAAGCAAGGCAGATTGAGCAGGAAAAGAAACGATTTCCTCTGGAAATGAGGAAAATCGATTATGAGAATAACATAAGAGAGTTTGAACTTTGAAAAATGGATAAAGAAGAAAGACAGAAAGCTTCTGACAGAGAACACCAATTGCGAATGCTACAGTTAATTATGAAAACTCGTCAACCATATGCCAATCCATAATCCATCCAATAGTTCGGCCTCCTGTTGATCCGGTATGTGATCAATTTAAGGAAGGAGTCCCTGGAACCAGCCCTGGAGGCCTGTCTCAAGTCAACTCAACATGTACTTGTCATCACATACAACCTGCAGGATTACTGAGACCATCCTTTTCTGTTCTGCGTGAAACTGTTGTGGAGCAATGATCGGGATATCGGAAAATTCCATTTCTCCTGAAACCCTTATATCACCTTTCTTAGCTCCTCGCGTGTAGGAAACTTCACAACATCTGGAAACACATGTGTACAAATGGCATAACACACTTCATGTAGTACACAACATACTGTTGACCCGTGAATCCCAAAGAGATTACCAACAGTGCGATATTCTACCGTTGTTGCCAAGTAGTAAATTGCCACCGCTACTCTGTGTTCGGTTGTCATTTTTAATGTGAGGATGGAGCTTTTCACAGAGACGTTCTTGACATTCTGAAGTTTTCTATCCACTGAGCGTCATCAAAACGTGGTACAGTTACTTCCCACCAATATCTACTCGTTTCCTTTTCCCAAACAAAGCGTTCTCTAAGTAGTGATGAACCCACGCACAAAATCAAAGTTTGGACGAATCTCTTCCATTTTCTAGCTTAGGACAAACGTCTATACTTATCCATGGTTAGAGAGAAGTGACAGGAAATATCAATACCCCCCCACCCCCCTACTTGTAATGTAAACGCAGACACAATTTTGCCCTTTGACCCTGTGGGTAAATTTACCCCCGGGGACAAACTATCCATGGGGGTAAAATGGGTGCATATAAACAAGGCTATATGTCCATAAAATACCAGTATTCTCAGCACAACAATTGCATTTTCTATGTAGATTTGAACCCAGGACTGTGACAGTCAAAGCCGTATTTGGCTAAACTGCCAATATAAATGATAGCGCCTTAGACGATTTGGTTGATTGGTTTGGCACAGTGCTACCTATGTAGCTGGAGTGTTTGCACAATACACAACAGTGTAGACAGACAGACATATTTTATTCAATAAAGAGGCCTTGGGCCCATAATACATACTTTCTTGGTGATATCAGATAACACCTGTGTGAGAATATATAGCTGCTGAGCAGGCACAGGTATGAAAATTTGTAGTACAATATTATATAAACAACAAATTGCATTTATAAATTGTTGGTTTTAAATGATGAGCCTTACTGTGTACCAGTGATAACTAAAGGGCTAAGTGCTTTGGGTTAGTAGTGTTGGCTCTCAATTTCCATACTTTATATAAACACATAAGTATACTATGCAGGGTAGAAATATTGCGTGATGTCAGTAAATTCCCCATATCTTGCGACACAAAATGAGATTTAACATAAGGTATAAGCGGGAATATATATTTCTTTCTAAGAATATCATAGCTTTCACAGACATACAGTAATCTCAGCACAACAGTTGCATCTTCTATATTGATTTGAACACAAGACTGTGACAGTCAAAGGCAGTATTTGCCTAACCTGCAATATAAATGATAGCGCCTTAGACGATTGGTTTGGCACAGCGCCACCTATGTAGCTGGAGTGCACAATACACATCAGTGTATCTAGGCCAGTACTAAATGTCCCACTCTACCTTCCCAGCTGTAACTACACTTTAGATTCCACTAAAGAGTGGTGTGATTCCTAATATGAAACCCGGTTAATACGATTGAACATAAGAATCGGTTTTAGGTGTGAATTTAATTTAAAATGAAATCGATATATTTCAGGTTCACCACAAACGTCGATTATGTCGCCTGAGCGATCTCTTTTACACGTCCAAGTTCCAAGATCCCGGAGCCTAGATGTTGGGGCGTTTACTCCTTTATCATTGTCTCTCTACGACGGAACGTCCCAAGTTACAAGCTCATCTGTGAACAGACTATCCTTCGATGGTCAAAACTTGTCCCAAAGAGGCTTGCTGGTTCCCTTCAACTTATCCAACGTACGAAATATGTCCGTGGAATCTTTCAGTTCAGACGAGACATGTGATACACAAACAAGCGGCGACTTCAACGACAGATTCCACGTTGTCCTCTACAATAAGTTTGGAACACAGAGAGATTACGCTGCCGGTATTCTCGATGCCAAATCAGTTTCTCATGTCTACAGCGGAGCGGTGCTAGTGACAGATATGCTTGACAGTAAAGTAGTGTTATATGAACGCAGCGGAAAGGCCAAAAGGACTTACATGACAAGAGAGTGTACAGAGCCGTGGGGAGCGACCATGACCCCTGAAGGGCAGGTGGCCGTGTCATTCCGACGTCAACGTTGTGTGGCGGTGTGGCCAAATGACGGACAGACGATTGTTGAGGTTGGACATGGGCTACTTAAATGTCCAGCTGGTGTTGCAGTGGACAAATCTGGGAGGATATTTGTTGCGGACGAAGAAGGAGATGACGTTCTGGTGTTTGATCAGACAGGAAATGTCTCTTTAAATTATCAGATTTCCGGGAGACGTGTTTCAAACAACCAAGATATGTCTGCTGTTCCAACTCTGGGCGTATCATAGTATCAGATTCGGGACATCATTGTATAAAAGTGTTCAATCAAAGCGGAGAATTTCTGTTTAAATTTGGATGTTATGGGAGGGGAAATGGACAGTTCAAATTTCCATATGGCGTCTGTTCGGACCAACATGACAATATTTTTGTTGCTGACCATTACAACGACCGGGTTGTTATGTTTTCCTCCAAAGGTGGCTTTATTCAAGATTTGGTGACGTCTGATTCTGGACTTCGGAAACCTGCTGGACTTTCCGTTCGATGTGCGCATAACCGGAAGTTGTACATTACACATGGTGAACTGAGAGCCTCTGAGATAATTGTGTTTAAACTCATTCCTGAGGAAAGTGACGTCAGTATCAATGTTAAATATTATGTGTGACGTCATATGTGACGCTAGACCTCATATCCTCATCATGCAACAATAAATCGGTCATTCAGTTTGTAACTCTATTGTTTCTATTATCAGTGTATCCCTCTACTCAGGGGGGAGGTGGGGTAGCCTAGTGGTTAAAGCGTTCGCTCGTCACGCCGAAGACCCAGGTTCGATTCCCCACATGGGTACAATGTGAAGCACGTTTCTGGTGTCCGCCACCGTGATATTGCTGGAATAGTGCTAAAAGCGACGTAAAACTAAAACACACTCACCCACTTTGCTCAGTAGAATTATATTTACATTCAGTCACTAGTCTGCACATTTAGATATCCCAAGCTTGGGTAAGGGTGAGACATGGAAGTTCTATCGTTACTCGTGAAGATCTGGGTTAGAATTGGTCTTCAGGAACCCATGCGACCTACGGGATTGGGTGATTAGGCTCGTTAATTTGGTTGAAACATGTCATCGTATCCTGACTGCGAAAAATCGATGCCCACGATTTCAGTCACCGGATTGGCTTGTCCAGACTCGATTAGTTGCAGACTGCCACCATATAGCGGGAATATTGCTGAGTGTGGTGTAAAACTAAACTCACTCAATCATGCCCAGTCACCATTATCTCAAGACTGTCGTCATACAACTGGGATATTATTGGGTATGTCTTAAAACAAGAAACGTAAATCATACAGACACAAGTTGTCTGAATAATTGGCAATGCGGTGGATTAATTAGTCTTTCGAATGGAAGGAGAATACTCACAATGTCTAACATTTTGCATACAAGTATACTAGGCACATAAAGAAACTGTGCATACAAAATTTAAAATCTTAATTTATCAAACCTGTGTAGACACATAAGGATTTAAACTCAGAGATTAGTGACATGTAACCAACATGAATGCACGTGCCACGTTCCGTGACGTCAGTGGGTACGTCCTTGAGACGTGCAATACGTTGTTGCACGTGCATTCCGGGAAAGAGAAACAGAGCAAATGAATGCCACACAATACTGTCACTTTGGAAAGCTCAAACCCTGCCCTTGCAATCGTTCAAAAAATTAAACGGCTATTGAAACGCATAGCATGCCAAGGCTCACGTCTGCACAACGTCATGAGGCCATTGGGATGGTCCGTGGGGGAATGTCTCAACGACAAGTGGCTGCACATTTCCTCTTCCACCGGAACACCATTTCTGCACTGGTGAGATGCTACCAGAACACAAATGACGTCATCGATCGGCCACGTTCTGGACGTCCACGTGTAACAACGCCAAGACAGGACATATGAATAAGGGTGACCCATCTTCGCCATAGTTTTCAGACTGCAGTGATGACTGCCCGAACCATCCCAGGACTTCGCCGTATCCACCCCAACAAAGTTCGACAACGTTTACGTCACCACGGGATCAGACCACGACGTCCCGCCATACGGCCTATTCTGACACAACATCATCGACAAGCTCGCCGAATGATGTCCGCAGACCCTTGTTTTGGTGGCGAAATGTTGTTTTTACAGATGAGTCCAGGTTTAACATTTCCCATAGTGATGGACGTCAACGTGCCTATAGACGCGTGGGAGAACGTTATGCACAGGCCTGTGTGTTGGAGAGGAATCGCTTTGGTGGTGGTTCCGTGATGCTTTGGGATGGAATAACAGCATGCCAAAGAACTCCTTTGGTGATTGTTCAGGGCAACTTAATTGGTGTGGGCTACAGGGATCAGATTCTTCGACCTGTGGCAATTCCTTTTCTGCAACGTCATGACCCTGTGTTAACCTTCCAACAGGACAATGCCCGCCCTCATACGGCAAGGGTTGCTATGGATTTCTTGCAACACCACAACGTTGACTTACTGCCTTGGCCTGCAAATTCACCGGATCTCTCCCCGATAGATCATGTTTGGGACGAGATGGATCGACGTCGACGCCGTCTTCCTCATCCGCCAGATAACGTCCTTGACCTTGCAACAGAACTTCAACAGAGAGAATCTGGCGTGACATCCCACAAGCCTTCCTTGCACGTTTGATAGGCTTTATGCGTCGTCGATGCACTGCTGTTCTCAATGCCGATGGTGGACATACCCGTTATTGAGCTTGTGGTCGTTTGACCCCTGTCCCGCTTGTTATTTTGGCAATGCACAGTTCCTTTATGTGGCTAGTATAATTAATACTGATCAACTATAAATTCGTTACTCGAGTACTTGTGTTTGAAGAAGTTCACATTTACGCATTTCTAGTAATTTCAGATGTTTTGTCACGAGGCCTATTACGTCATGGAATGATACAATGATATCGTTAATACATTTTGTTTCAGAGCCACGCTCATTCACTTTTCATGGAAACCAAATTCACTTCATATTACACTTGGCTTCAAAGATATTTTTACTTAAATATGTCGTAAAAGGACTTCTGACACACAACAGTTCGAGTTGCACAGTAAACAAAACATGCCTTAGTATTTTAACAAAGGTATGACTGTATTGTTTTCCTACTTGAAAATGCAAACATTCAACATCGTTGCATCAGAGTATCGCATATCAGAATGAAATCGTATCAAGTTGTACTCACTGACTCAGGAAAGACTATCCTTTGTAGGTCGTTTTACTGCAAAACATCCTGATGTCGTAAATAGATCAATAACGTAGTGCTGTTTCATCCAAGAGAAGATATTTTTCAAACGGTTGTTGTATAGTCACATTGCACAAAACAAAATCAATGATGTCACAAACTTTTATCAGTAATTCTCACTGAGTGTTATTACTCTTGCTTAAAGCTGATTAACCAGTTCACAGTAATTGCCACATTGTTTATGTTCTTTGCCCAACTCGACGTTGTATCATGGTTTGGTTTGGTTGTTGTTTAACGCCGCACTCAGGAATATTTCAGCTATATGACGGCAATCTGTAAATAATCGAGTCTGGACCAGACAATCCAGTGATCAACAGCATGAGCATCGACATACGGAATTTGGAGACGATGACATGTGTCAACCAAGTCAGCGAGCCTGACGACCTGATCCCGCATTCTCGAAAATACACTACCGGACATGGTAAAGTATACACTAGGGCAAGTTTGTGTGGTGCAGGGTGAAAATGAAACAGATATGAAAGGTTATCATTTGATTGTGGATACTTGATTCGGGTATGACATACATATTTCATGCATCACATTTTCTCACAACGAGGGGCCATTTGCAGACTGCAAGGTATATTTTTGGTCGAATGTATTTGTCACTGGCCTGGTCAGTATAACTTGAAGAAGAAGAAGAAGAAGAAGAAGAAGAAGACCTTTATTCAGTATTACGGCCACATGACCAAGAGTACAATACAATAAACAAAATATAGCACATGAACAGGTGAAAAATTTACAATCTCTACAAGTAAATATAGTTTAAGATGAATTAAAATATTTTTTTAGAAGTTTTACATTTTGTGTTGCAAGCAACTGATTAAACTTAGATCTGGTTGGATATATATACAGAGTCAAAAAAGAAACTTCACAAATGTAATTTGAAAAATAATGAATAATTTTTCTCTGATGATACATCTATGTATCCGAAATGGGATCCCTATCTTTCGACTCTAGAAAAACGTTAGCAAAACCCACTCAAATCCATCCATTCGTCGTGCAAATGACGTTAGTGCCAAATCAGGTTTTGCACGTGCAGTCGATCACGTGATCTTCGCATCGAAATTTCTTCATATGCACGTGTTTGCATTGGCCTTACGAATTAAAAAAAACACTTTTAAACCACAGTTCTAACGGTACTTGAAATGCCACGACTGTCAAATGTGCAACGTGAACGTGCCGTTGGCATGTTGCAAGCGGGAAGATCAGTTATTGACGTCGCAAGAGCAATGGGATGCAGCCGTCGTACTGTGTATGACTTGCGAGGTCGTCTACAACAAACTGGCACCACTTCTGATCGCCCAAGGTCGGGTCGTCCACGTGTGACGTCACGAGCAGAAGACCGTCAAATCGTCCTACGTCACCTACGTGACAGATTTCTGCCGGCTGCACGAACCAGGGCTGAGATGTTTAGAGGTCGACTGTCCTCACAGACCATTCGAAATCGGTTGCGGGCTGCCAATCTCCATTCTCGACGTCCATATCGTGGGCCAATATTGACGCCGTTTCATCAACGTCAACGTCTGCTGTGGCCCAAAGTCACCTCCGATGTACCCAGAGAGACTGGAATCGAGTCGTCTTTAGCGATGAATCCAGGTTTACCCTCAGATTCGCGGACGGCAGGCATAGAGTCTGGAGACGACGTCGTGAACGGTATGCCCAATGTTGTGTACAGGAAGTCGACAGATTCGGGGGCGGAGGTTGCATGGTGTGGGGTGCTTTCTGTGGGAACAACCGTTCCCGACTTCTGGTCATCCGTGGAAACCTCACAGCTGCTGCTTACCGCGAGTAGGTGCTCACCCCTGAACTCGTTCCTTTCATGGCGGCTCATGGCCCAGGTCTACAGTTCCAGCATGATAATGCTCGGCCGCATACCGCGATGTTGACACGAAATTTCCTTCAAAACGCTGGAATCAACGTCATGGACTGGCCATCGAGGTCCCCTGACCTTAATCCAATAGAGCACGTTTGGGATGCACTTGGGATAAGGCTTCGTGGTCTTAGGAACCAACCTCAGAATTTGC